CTCCGAGGCAATCCACCAAAATGTTGGAGTAGGGTATTACACCGCAAGGTGGCCCGAACCAGGATAAATTGTTGTGTCTCTTTGTCTCTTTGAGCTTGTCGCGCTAGGCCTAGGAGGATCGCGAGTAGGAAGGCTGGGTAGGTTGAGATCTCCGCACGCACACCAGAGTTCGAACCTCTCAAGGGTTTGCGAAACCCGCAATCCGACAGATTGCAATGCAACAGATGCACTAAATCTATAAGTGTATGAAAGCTCAACATGAAACTAAGCGGGTGTGCATCCAACTTGCTTGCTCATGAAGACCTCGACCATTTGAGGAAGCCCATCATTGAAATATACAAGCCAGGTTCTATAATGAAAAATTGCCACTAGTGTATGAAAGTGATAACTCAGGAGACTGTATATGAAGAACACGGTGCTACTATAAATAACGATTGTGGAAAAGGATAGTAGCATTGCCCCTTCTCTCTTTTTCTCTCATTTTTTGTTGGCCTCTTTTTTTATTAAGTCTGGAGTCTCATCCCGATTTGTGGGGGATTCATTGTCTCCATCATCCTTTTCCTCACTGGGACAATGCTCTAATAATGATGATTATCACACTTTTATTTACTTACAACTCGATAAACTGAAACAATATGACTTTATATGAATGCCTCTGGTAGTGTACCAAGATGTGCAAAGATCTAGTGTAACATGTATAACAATGATGAACGGTGCCATTGCCACAAATATCATAAAAGAACATATGTTTTCCTGGCAAAAAATTAAAGGCATGGATGATCAGTGTGTTCACTGAAAAATGTTGAAGAGTTGTTGTTTGGATGATCAGTGTGTTTATTGAAAACTGTTGAATAGTTGTTGTTTTTATCATTATGTTTCCCTCATAGAAAAATTATGACTGGGATGATTAGTGTGTTTTGTGAAAACTGTTGAGGAGATGTTTTTATACACAAACCTTCGTGGACGGGGACCGTAGTGACTCGCCGTCGTAGTGCCTTGCCATGAACAACGAATAGATGCCGAACTGCTCACTGGTGATGATGTAATGGATGTTAACGGTTCCCGACATGAATATATAGTTGAGGATAAACATTTTCTTACGTAAGCACATCAAGGTTGAACAATACCTTGGGATTTTTTCAATCATCAATGTAGGGAACTCTCTTCTCCATCCAGTAGATGGCATGATTGACTTGTTCATGGAATTTGACTCGATCGGTCATAAATCCAAATGGGCCTGCTTGGGGGTCGAGAACGACAATCCTTTTCTTCAAAATATCTAAGGTATAACAGCACCAGCCGTATTGAAGAGTGGTGTGGAAAATGAATTGCACTTGAAATGTGGTAGTTAATGAATAGTGATAATACATGTAATGCAGGAGGTGGGCAAGATCTGATAGATGTAACGTACCATTCAGCATTGGTCGATGTGTTTCTCCATTAAGAGTTCGGTTTGGACTGAAACGGCAAACAATGGGTCTATGTTGCAGATGACAAGTGTCTCCAAAGATGGGTATTCATATCAAAACTTGTCGTACATTAGATCAGCGGAGAATGCGCAAAAAATTACAAAAAATAGGGATGTACCGTAAAGTCTGGTTCCATGAACTTTCGCCAAATTGCACCATCTCCATTTGTTGAATTTTTCTGCTCGATTTGTGCTAAGCGGCGAAGAATAAGGGTCATGCATTCATAGCTTGTTGCCTTTTTGCTGATGATCTGGTCACGTATAATATTCCCTTGCAATAGTAACACAATTTTTATCTTGTTGTGCAATATACCTGGAGGAGAAGGTGACAACCAATAATGTGGATTGTTGTGTTCCCATTGTGAATGTCAATCTTCATTTTCCTAACCCCTTTCATCAAACTGTATTTGACAAGCCTACACCAGTCGTAGTAATTTATCTCCGACGGCATAACCAGTGCTGCCCAGTAATCAACACTAGTGTAGTCGTGCTTGGCGCACGGGTTCAGAACATGACCAAACGAGAAAATTACAAAAGCTATCTTGAAGCATTCACACTCCACTTTGCTTGAATTCTCATCTACTGCCTTAGATAAGATAAATTCAGCAGCCTTCAAACTATGTACGCCTTCGGTACTCATGGATGATGCCAACCTGCTGAACTCTATACAAACTACAGATAAATCTGAGTGGCCTGGAGGAATGGTCCTGCTTCCTTGTGGCAGACCAAATGCATCGTTTACTTCCTGGTCTGTAATTGGTATTTTCCTTGTTTGGTCCAATGCTAAAATGCATTCATCTGGATTTACTCTGACCATCAAGGATGCACTGAATATCAAGTTAAGCTTGTGAGCTATTTTTAGATGCATTAACCCTCCGAAACCAGTCTCCAACACAAGACCGCGCTTGAAATTACTAAACTGGGAGAGACGCAACAAAACTTCTGAATAGATATGCGAGAAGTAAGTGTTGCATCTGCCAGCTTGGTCCTGGTTTGCTCTCCCACTCTGTCATATATTGGGGGGGCTGCATCTGGATTGGAGGGGGGGCTTAAAGAGAGTTGCTGCGGCTGGACATCAGGCAAACACTTAAGATCTGTTCTATGAAGATAAATCTTTGTGAGACGGCTAGCAAATTAACCATTAAGGTGAATATTATAAGAATAGCAACGTGCTAAAACTATGCAATTGCTCGTCGATTTAAGGGGTGCTGTGATGCTAAAATGGATTAAGTTGGGCATG